TTTTGTGAGTCTTCCCTTGTCTTCTATGTTTAATTGTCACATTTACCATTCATCTTCCCTGAACTTTACTCACACCCTGAGTGAATTTGCTACTGTTCCAGGAGTCAGGCTATAGGGATGAAGCTACCCAGTCGATCTGCTGATTAGAGCTGCATTGAGAGAACGCCATGTCCCTTCAGGAATGCTGCCATTTCTGCTGATGACAGCCTTTACTTAGAGGAAGATTTTTAATTAACTGGACCAATTGAAATTCCCAGACAATCTTATGCTCATGTTTTCCTAAGTTCACTGTGAAATTTATATCATAAAATGTGGTAGGTCCTATTTGAAAAGTTTCAACAGTATTATTCTTTAAAAAGTCTTGAGGATGACCAGGCATGGTGGCTTATGCACCTTGGGAGACCAAGGCAGGAGAATCGCTTAAGGCCAGGAGATTGACACCAGCCTGTGCAACATAGTGAGACCTCATCTCTGCAAAAGGATCACCTGAGCCCAGAAAGTTGAGGCTGCAGTGGACCAGGATCATGCCACTGCCCTTCAGTCTGGGCGACAGAGTGAGACTAGCTCAAAAAAAAAAAAAAAAGCAAGTCCTAAAAATAATGTGTCAATTGAACCAATATAAACTAGGCTCCCACACAGCCTGTTTGGGTAATAGCATTTCTACTAATCTATTAAATTCCTTGAAAGAAAAAAATTTACCAGGTCTCCCAAGAGTGGGTTAAATTATTTTCTCATAATTTTTGCTTAAGTGGATACAAAAATAAAATTGGCTTATTCATAAGTTCTGACCTGCTATTAACTCAAGCACATTATAAATTAATTTTCTTTGAACAACAAAACCAATAAAATTCAAGTTTTCTTCTGCTTCCCATCTAAAATAAATGATATTTTTGCTGAAACTAAATTATTTCTCTCAATTGAAAAGTGGTACTGGCTGATGTAGTGCATTTTATTTAGGTTGGACTTGTCTATACTGAGTAGAGGCAAATGATTCAGTTATTCCTTCACCTGTCTCTATTTAGACTGTTTTTAAAGTCCATTTGTACAGTGCACCACAATGTTATTTGGCCTAACTTGTATGAATGCATCTATTATGTATTAAGTTCACCTCTGTTCTCTTCTTATTAGCCCTCCACATTGAAAGTAATTCTGCGTAGTGTCAAAATTGTAGTCTAAACAGAATCCCAAACAAAAATACTGAAATAATGTAGCATTGCTCAGTTATAATTTGCTCCCATAAACCAATAGATACTTGTATTATTTATATTTGATTATCATTACAATCTAAAAAATTAATTTATGTAGTATACTCTCAGACCTTAAAAAAATTTATCAATAGATTCACAAGAATTCAGGACTTCCATTTAAGAAATATCATCCTACCTGCCTGGGGCAGGCAAGAAATCATCTCTACAATAAATCAAAAAATTAGCCAGACGTGGTAGCGTGTGCCTGTAATTCTGGCTACTCGGAAGGCTGAGGTGGAAGGATCACCGGGGCCCAGCAGGTCACTGCATTCCAGTCTGGGTGACAGAGTGAGACTCCAACTCAAAAAAAAAAAAAAAGAAAGAAATATCATCCTAATATACATCAACTATTTAAACAATGACAGAGTAAATAAGATAGTTTGAGGGGTTTTAAGATTAGTAAATATAGTGACAAGTGTGGAGTATTCTTGAATTTGTGTAAATATTTTAAGCAAAACCTTTCAAATTAGTTTTAATACTTTGAGTCTGAGTGTAGCTCAGTAAGAGAATCTTTGAGAATTGAAGCAATGACAAAGGAACGTCCTTACTTGGGAAATCTTACATAGCCGGGGCGTTAAGTCATGTGTACCAGCACAATTCCATGCAAGATGTACTAAGTGCCATAGGAATATACCCAATTTTGCCTACGTGCTAATAGGAAGATGCAGAAAGGACCAGAAGTCACAAGGGTCCTGTATATGTCCCAATCTCTGCCATGCTTGTCCACCTCTTAATTGCATTCAATTTTCCATAACACTGTGAGTTTCAAGAAGCTACCTCACTCTATTCATTTTTAGATACCTGAATTGTATTAAAATTAATATGTGTGACAATTCTTATTGTAACATTAGTAAGCAATTTGGGTATCTAAGAGCTGTCTTCAAAGTGAATTTAATGTTTTGTCACTCTTTTTGGAATACTCTTTCCCACTGGAAACATGACTTTAGGAACCCAGCATTTCAGGGAATGTCCAGCCTATCATCATGGAAACGCACAGCCCTTCCTTCTCTACTGCCCTCTTCCCTGAGTAATATAGCAGTTGTTCTTCCTTAACAATGCTTTTATGACTGTTAGTGTTATTTATTTAACTGGCATAACTGTGAAAAAATTCTGTTCAAACCCCAAAATGGAACGAAGATGCAATACAATAGTATTATCTCTTAGAAATAAATAGTCATATTTTTAAGGTAAGCTGTTACAATATCTAACATGGTCTGTGAGATACACAAATAGGTAGGTAGATAGATGAGAGAAGAGAGAGAGGGTGGAACCGGGGGAGACTCCTCAGTCGTGGCTAATCACTTATTGCATAGCCTAAAAATATAATCGGGAATAACAATAGAGTACTTCAGATAGACAGATGAGCAGGTCTCAGCGTGAATATGTCTTCTTGGTTCATACATCAAAAGAGTTGCTATATTCCTTCTAGTCATTCACTCATGACTGTTAGAGAGTTTGTGATTATTTGCTTGTTACTTCTTCTGTTGTTCTGCTCAGGAGAAAGAACATCCTAACTGTCAGGAAATATGAGTTCTAATCTCAGCTCATGTCTGTTGGCTGTGTGAACTTGGGCAAATTTCATGACCATGCCAGCCTTATGTCCTCATCTTTAAAATGAGAGGATATAGAAAAAATCATCTCTAGCAATATTTTTAGCTCCAAAATTTTGTGATGTTGAATTGTGTAGTAAAAAGTTACCCTTTAAGTTAATAAATTGTATCATTAGTATTACTTCATTTTGAAATCATAATTATCCCACACATTTTTGCAGTATTAAAAAATATTTTTTTGTTTTAACTATATTAAATCGAGGGTGCAAAGTGTATTGTGTAAAAATTTGCTTCAGGAAAAGTACTTGATATAGCAATATGTGAAATACACACTCAAATACATGTATGACAAATTTGCCATAACCTTAACTAAGAAATTACAGCTCTTTCAGAAATAATTTAATTGACCTATCAATGATTACTCTCATCTTTAGACACCCGAAGTTTGAACTAGGACTCCAGCCCTAGAAAATGACACTTCAGACATTAAAAAAAAAAAAAAAAATTAAATCATATTTAGTTTAGTTTTAGTATCTAACAGATTTTATAATAGTCTAATTTCTTGAAAATCGGTATTCTAAGTATAATATTTACAATAATAGCATTCAACTTTCTGGCCTAACTCTGTTTCCCTAGCCACAAAATCGGAATAACAATAGTAAATATCTCATTAAAATGATGAGCACAAATACCTTAGCAGAGTGTTTGACAGAGTGAGCACTATAATATTGTTTAAATGCTACTTTTGCTGCTATTTACTACAATTCTCCCTGGATGAAAATGTTTATATTGCATCGCTTAACAACCTACATAGTAAGGTGGGTATTTGAGAATTAGGAAGATAAGCATATAAAAGCAAACATTCTCAATTCGGTAATACAGTTTAAAATTCAGAAAAATTCTGTCCAAGTGGATTGCCAATCCCCAGAACCTGGCTCACTATACATTCTGTCATCTGGGATGGGGTGAAAACAGCTTTCCAGAGAAGGCAGAATCTAAATGAATCAGCTAGGTAAAAGCAGGTCAGTGCCAAAATCTGTTTGTGAATGAGCAAATTCTGATCATGAGCCATAATAAAATTTTAATAAAGAATTCATTATAATATCTTCACCGAAATTATGAGAAATAAAACCTCACCACCCCCTGTATCCAGTACAACTTGTTTCTATCAGGGCTATAAGTGGCCTTATTTCCTGGTGGTGTACATGCTTTTATAAAAAGATGATGAAAAGTTAAATTCTGAAGAGTTTATGTCTAATCTAGAATTTATTTTTAATTTCAAAAGGCTCCTTTTATTTTTAGCTGATTATATGTGGAATATCATTTTCTTAATTCTTTTTTTGCTGTTAGACAAAATTAATATTGATTTGCGCCAGTGGAAGCCAATTCAAGCTAAAAAAAAAAAAACTAGTTATCTGGCATCTTACAGACTGATCACTTTAATATGAGGACCCTTTTCAAAATAAAAATATGACTTTGTATCATATAGCTTTAAAGATGAATTTTATCATACAGCTTTAAAGATCTTTAAAACATCTACTATCTTTATAAAAAGTAGTCGTTTTTTTTGTTTTTTTTTTAGAAGGAGACCATTTAATATATCACTGCCATGTATTTCATTAAAATTTCTTATTTCCAGGTGTTTTGTTATTTGTCTTAGTCACTCTGACCCTGGATAAGGCTATTTACTTACACATATACATTATGAAGCATCTTCTTCAGTTTTTAAATCATGATATTTCTACAAATCAGCATACAAATTTATTTGAATGACATTTTTCTAAAGTAATATGAGAAAACTATAAAACATATCTAACGTAAATCCAAAATGAATCCTCTCCTCTCTTTGAATTTTACTATAAAGAAATTACATTGTTTCTATTTGTGTAAACAATTTTTTTAAAAATACAGTACCATACCAATAATTCTTTTTCTTAATTGTGGGCTCATTTTGCTTAGCCTAGCTCCTAGAAAACCAATTTATTTTCTTTTTCCTTTTTTTGTATGTGTTCCTTGTTTTTTTGCCTTTTTTTGTATGTATGCTTATGTTTATGTTTTTAGCTGAAATTTAAAAATTGGATTATACTTTCTGAGGGGAAGACAATGAACTTCTAATCCACTCTACTCTTTGGGTACTTGTGCTTTTTGTTAGCTGTTTCAGACTTCTCATGGTTTTGTTTCCTTTTGTTACTGTTTATTACAGAGGAGGTGTCTGCAAGGATAGTTCAAGTAGTCACGGCTGAGGCTGTAGCGGTCCTGAAAGGTGAACAAGAGAAGGAAACTCAGCATAAGGATCAGCCTGCAGCTCTGCCTTTAGGTAAATGGGACAGACCAGGGACTGTGTGTGTTGCATCCCGATCACAAGGTGATGTCTTCACGTTCAGAAGATATGCAGTCATTCACCCTTGCACATCACTTCATCAAACACCTCGACGGGGCCGCCCTGAGACCTATTTTCACCCTTGCAGCTGGTTCCTGGTGGTGTTTGCATAGTCCTTAATTCGAGTTAGACTCTCCCCTAAGTGACCTTTAACTTTCCATCTCCGAGACCACTGTGGTTATGGTTATGATAATAAAGCCAACGCATTTTATTTCATGACCCGTACCCTTAAGGGAAATCTACTAAAACTTTAATTAGAAGATGAGTGCTTCCCTTGATGGGTTTTGGTGAATGATTATCTGTAATATAGTCTTGTTTGGGTTTTTCTGAAGGACTAAACAAAACCTATAGCCAGAGCCTCGTTATAATCATCAGTAATTTTGTTTCTTGTATGAGAGCCCGACCTTCACTTGATCTAATGGCACTGCCTTCTCTCTTGAAACAAGATAAATGTTTCCAGAGCCAGACAAGTAATGTGTTGCTGGCTTGCCAAGAAAAACACTCTCGGCCCTGCCTTGCTGCTTCTACTAGATAGGATGATAGATAGACAGATAGATAGATAGACAGACAAATAGATGCATATGTACATATATGAGGAGATACAAGAAAGAAGACTTTTTTTAGTCAGAGTCTCACTCTGTTGCCAAAGCTGGAGTCCAGTGGCACACTCATGGCCACCACAGCTGGAGTCCAGTGGCACACTCATGGCCACCACAGCCTCGACCTGCTGGACTCAGGTGATCTTCCATCTCAGTCTTCCAAGTAGCAGGAACCACAGGCAGGTGCCACCATGCCTGCCTAATCTTTTTATTTATTTTAGAGACGAGGTCTCACCATGTTGCTCAGGCTGTTCTCAAACCCCTGAGCTCGGGCAGTCCTCTCGCCTTGGCCTCCCAAAGCGTAAGGATTACAGGTTTGAGCCACCATGTCCAGCAAGAAAGGAGACTCTCTTAAGTTCAACGTGTATGTTTATTTCACAGGTGCTATACCTGATGCATAGAAAAGTATGGTTTTTGAGGCTTTTCCTCTCTTACCTTCTGATGTATTCTTAATATTTGATTTTCTGATCAATACTCCTTTAATTGTGTATTAAAAAGTAAGTAATAAAAGTATTCTGCCCTCCCAGAATAACAATTTAGAATGCACTGAGCATTTTTAATACTGAGGTTTTTTTGTAATTATTATTATTGAGGACTATTTTTCTGTAAAAATAGAAAGAGAAAAAATTATCTAATCTAAAACAATAGCCTTCACTTTTATTCTTTGAAAGGAAGAAAATCAAATTTTTTTAACTTGAAATTTTAAAATATTCCATGCAGAGGAAGCTACAGGATAAGGTACTAAAGAGTCATCTGTTATCCCAAAGCTAGTTCTACTCACTGCTTTATTAAACTGAAATTCACATAATCTTTAAAATAGGCTTAAGTACTGGCATTACATAAGAAATATTTCCATTTGAAATTTCTTACCTGCATTTGATGAGGGTCACAAAGAACATGTGTCTTGAAAAGTAAACTTTACATTTAACTGTGAATGAATTTTTTTTTTTAACTTATCCCTCCAATTCAAATGTTTAATCAAATATCTGGGCACCCTGTGGCCAGTCAAATTGACACATTAAAATTAATCATCAAAAACCATGACTCCAAAATATGGTGAATTTGAAATACAAGTGAAAATGTGTAGAAAAATAAACCAGACTATACAGTGATTTTAAATAAACAGGAAGGAGAAAAGATATTAAAGTAGAATGTTTTACATTGTTTATTTGAGTAACATTCCCCTATCATGTAGTAAATAGGACAGTATTTGAAGGAAAAAAAAATTCCTGGCCCTGATATTTTAGTCTCATGATGGAAGAGCCAAAGCTTTATCACTTTCTCATTTTTCATATACAGTCACAATGAATTGCATTTTTAATATTCTTTTTTCTCTGGTTTTTCATATGTAATACTAAAACCAGAAAGTTCCTCAGCTTATGCTAGTACATGGTTCTTTCTGACAGTTGCCTCAGGCCATAGACGCTTCATTTTCTTTCCTGTGAATATATATAGAAAAAGGGTTTCAACATTAGACTCAGTGGACAAAACATTGTCTAAAAAAATATGTCCTCAAAGTAACTACGAATGATCAAGGTAACATTTGTTTCCAGATCAAGCAGTTGAACAATAGAGAGAGGGCTCCTTTTTTTTTTTTTTTCAGTCTAGCTGAATCTAAACTAAAATGCCTGCCTGTGTGTTTTCATATCATAAATTAGAGCCAAAATGCAATATTTTTCTAACTGGACAAGTAGATACATTAATGATAGAATTTTAGCAGGCATCTCTTATCTATTTTAGAAAGAAGACAAATGAATTTTTTTTAAGTTACTAAATGCTTGTCTTGTTTTTTAAATTCTCAAAAATATATGAATCGGATAATGAACCTAAAAATAAGTCAAATGCAGTTTACTATTGAATCTTTCCCTGAATTTTATAGAGAGGCCTTTTTACAAACGACAGAACTGCCTATACATCTGCCCGCCTAAGAGGATTAATTATTGCATCTCCTTTTTCTACTGTTTGATCTTTAGCAGCTGAAGAAACAGCTAATCTGCCTCCTTCTCCACCCCCATCGCCAGCCTCAGAACAGATTGTCACAGGGGAGGAAGGTAAGACCTATTGGACTTTTCAGGGTTTGTCTGGGGGAAAAAAGAGGGGAGGGTCTAAATAATAAACTTCAATCCATAGGCATCGGACTTCTGTCTTGGTTTTAGCTGACCCACCTTTTGAGCCATTTCAAACATTCAAGAAGAAACAAAGACCTTACGTAAGCAATCACCTATCTACATAAAATCAGAAGTAGAGGAATGTAGTAAATAAAAAAGAAGAGCTATACCTTAAAAAAGAAGATAACTGAGTGGTTGGTTGCTAAAATAACTATAGGGAACCCATTCACTTAAGGTAGAGTGCTTTTATGGGAAAGATACAATCCTATCTTGTAAGTCAGTGGTCCTCACAGCAGGAAGTGGGCTCTGGGCATCAGATCAGCAGGGCATCAGATTGTCATAGGAGCACAAACCCTGTTGTGAACTGCCCGTGCAAGGGCTGTAGGTTGAGTGCCCCTTATGAGAATCTAAGACCTCCCTCTTCCCCCCACCCCAATCCCCACTCCTCTCCGTCCATCCGTGGAAAAATTATCTTCTGTGAAACTAGTCCCTGATACCAAAAAGGTTGGGGACCACTGTTGTGACTGAATGAAAATAAAAATGAAACATGTAATCTCTATAATAGTAATAGTTAGATTTATTGATGAAATCAACATTTCCTTATGAAAATGTCAGGAATCATCTCTGTTTTGTTTTGTTCACTTATTATACTGCTAAGACCTTCCCCAAGGGCTGATCCATAACAAGTTCAATAAATATTATTGAATAAATTAAGAAGTTAATGAATGAATCTGATACTGAGAGCAGTGAACTGGAAGCTGAGATCATGGCTTATTTCCTGCTGAAACCTGTTATTGTCCATGAATCCGTTTATATACTTACTCAACATGGAATGTCATGTCAGCTTTTCAGTTCTTGTTGATGAAACAGAGGGATGCCTTTGAAGAACATTCATTCAGAATCTGAGATGAAAGGCGCTATCTAAAAGGAAACCAAGCCTTCACTGGTTCTTTGACTTATGCCAGTTAACTTTTGGGTATTATTTGAGAGTTACAGGAAAAGGCAGAGAAGAGCTACAGCTCAATTATTGTTTCAATATAACTTTGTTTTCATATACTAAAGCCAGAATTTTAAGACTTTTCTATTTTATTCATTTCTTCTTCTATTTTTCCTTTCATTGTCTCTTTAGAAATCATTTTACTGTATTAAAAACTGAATAACGTTTATCGCAAAAGACTCATCTTTTCAGACTTTGTAAATAAGCTCATTAAAAATATTCTTTGATTTCCTAACTAGAAAAATTTTAAATTACGAAACCATATGTCATCAACTCTAATATAATTTGTTTTTGTCACAGATTTATAAACCTAAACTCTCTTTAGCAAAGTTTTTCTTTCTTAAATTGAGACTTGTTTTTTTCTAATTTATTGCCTGAAATAATGTTCAACAAACTAAACTATTCTAAGGAGTATAAGAAAGTTTGGGAACAATAATCAGTGCATAATAGCCACTAATCATTATTTAATCCCCTTTAAATGTGATCATATTCTTAAATTTAAAACCTTGAAATATTCTTTTTGGCTTTATATTTATCCATTCACTTGGCCCTTGTTTGTTAAACACCTACAATGTTCTAGGCACTCTTCAAATTTACATACTGGTTAAGAAAACAGACATGATCCCTGCTTTTAAGGAGCACTCCTGTCTGGTTGAGAACAGGAATCTGATAAATAAGCTTACAAATAATTTCAAGTTGGATTAGCACTAAGAAGGAAAAGAATAGAGAGCTATAGAACAACAAGGAAAACCTTGTTTTATTGAATGGTGATGGGATGGTTATGGAGCCGAGACCAGAAGTATGAGGAAACTGTTGGTCAAGCAAAGGGGAAGGGAAGAGGTGTACAATGACTCACAGATGGGCAAGAAGATGAACTAAATGGGGTCTGGTCTGTGTCTCATGGGTAGAGAGAGAGAATAGAGTGAGAAGAAGCAGTGGCCAGAGGGGGTCAGTGGCCTGTACTTCACTCTGAGTGCAGTGGGAAGCCTGACATGATAGTTGTATCTCCCTTGGGTCCTTGAAAATGTTTTTAAGCTCCTACTTAAAGCCTTTCAAGTGTCAGTGAATCCTCTTAACCCAGAGAGGGATGTGATGTTGATAGAGTTGGCCTACTCCAGAAGTCTGTTTGAGGCCAAGTCATTTCCTCTTACTCTATATGAGAGTTGGAGCAGAAAGGGAAGATGCAGAGTTCTCCCATCTGTCTGAAAAGTCACCCAGCATATTTCCTGGAGGGCAATATAACGAGTACAATGAAAATATAAATCAGTGAAATGTAAACTCACTATCACATTTTGGTAACTCAGGTGTCACCTTTATAACGGTCCCCTTACATTTTAGAATTGCTTTCTTCAAGCTACTTCAGTATCTTCAGGGAAAATGCCCACTAAACTCTTATAAAAAGTAATTCTGTTATTTTCAAACCAAACTTGTATTTTTAAATGTTTAGTGGTATTAAACTATATGAAGCCCTGATGAATTACTTTTAAAAGAATAACCAGTGTTGAGTTTATGAAAAATATGTTTATATTTTGTAAGATCTATCTATTTAATTTAAATACCAGATAATGTTCTCACCTTAAATATAGAAAGATATGTGGTCTAGACAATCAAACTACTATCTCTCTTTTATTTTAAACTACAGTTAAATGTACAGCAAATATTATTTTTAAGGTTTAGTTTTGTTGCAAAATAAACTAGTGACATGGCACAAGACAGGATTGAGCTGTTCAGTTTTTCAACCCACGCAGTTTGTAAAGACCCAGCCCAAATTCTATCAGGGTATTGCTTATAGCAAGTCAGGTAGAAAGGGAGCAGATGGGTTTCTTTGTCTTGTCTAGGGTCTAGGAGATTATTTACCTTCCTTGACACACTGTCAAAGCAACTTTAATTTAAGGGTTCAGTGACTGCTGCAGTCTGATCCTTGTATACAAGTGGAAGAGAGCTCTTGTATTAAATTGAGTAATTCAGTGATTTTGAGAATACACTTTCTTTTATTAATTGTCAAACATTTTAAAATCTGTTCTTTCCCAAAGGGGAAGCATGAAAATTTCCACTAAAAAGAATTTAAGATGTTAATTACTATTGTTTATGAATATTCACTTATTGTAATTCATGCAACATTAATAATTCTCAGAACATTCTGGGAAACATCTAGAAGAGATTTTGATGAAAAAGTTAAAGTTGCGCAGTTAGAAAGAAAACCACTGTACGGTAAACCAACACCATACTAGTTATGATATTTTCAAATTAACCTCACTTTTCTTTTTGGCCTAACCATAATGGTTGTCATTTGGACTGAGCAGTTAGAATTTGGAAGCCTGTGCAAGTACAGTGGACTCATCTGAACACAGAAACAGAATTCCTTCTGTCCTTTTAGGTTTGCTCTCGAATTCTAAGATGGCGTCTTTCTGTGTCATTGGTGTGTGGTGACATAATAATTGCTAATCTGAAAGCAGTTTTTTCTCCTTATCGTTCTGGGCCTCATTAAAATCAGCAAACAGAGGAGTCCTCAGTCAAAAGCTGGCAGAGTAGAAAGGGCTTGGAAATGGCGGAGAACACCGTGAGCTGGCCCAGTGGCTGTCAGTCATACACTGTGATGACACAAGCAAAAATCACTGAGTCACTGACATGCCACCAGATGTGGTCTCCAAAGGGGGCTGACATACCAAGCCTGGGTTTTTCGTGGCACGCCTTCCTGTAACTGAAAGCCAACTTTCAAATGCTTTAAAAAAAATAAATAAATGAAAGCAAACTGGGGGAAGTTTATTCCTCCACTGAAACCAGGTAAGCTTTGTTTTTGAAAATTATGTTGAACAAAAGATCTGTGTAAAAATCAGGGTTCATAGGGTTGCCCTGTCCTTCAATAGATGACATTATTAAATGAAATAGCATCTTTTCTTGGCAAGAAAAGAGTCCTCAAAACTGTGCCTACTTATAGTAAAAGTTCAGTCCTGACCTTAAGCAGCCAAGCTAACTGTTATGAAATGACTTCAATTTTTCATGAATCTCTCAACTCCAACTTTGAGGTGTCAAATGAAAGGAAAGGACAGAGGTACCTGACAACTTGTGTGAGTTCACTGAAGGCAGATGCTTACATGTATGAAGTCAAACATTGCACTTGGCATTTTCACAGATATCTTCTCATTTACTCCTAGCAACCCAAGAGATAGATATTCATCTCCACGTTTTTGCCAGAATTGTCATGGCTTATGTCTGGATAAGTGGCTTATCCAGAATTTAAGTCCAAATCAAAATTAAGCAACCACAATTGCATTACATTCCTAAAGACGCTGTCTCTTAACAAGATTCTTACCATAAGACTATGGAGGTAAATTATCTTCAAATGAGAGTTCTTTGTCACAAGCTACTGTACTCATTTCCTTTTTAAAAAATGACTCCCAAATAAATATTTCATGTATTTATAATGTATTTATTTAAAATGATAACACGTCCCATCTCCAGGGAATGTGATACAAAAGCACCTGCCATACACAACTCCATGACAAACTAGGACATGATGTCATCGTCATTGGAATTGAGTGCCCTGTTTGGGTGTAGCTAGTCTTTGTCCCCTCTGTGCTCAGCTTTCCTGGCATATCTCTGGAGCTTGTAACATTAACGGACTTTAGGCTCACAAATCTCAAACAGAGACTTGGAGTGCATACAGCTTATAGTACCAAGAGGGGACTAGCTTTTGCCAGACACTCTTTTTTGAAGTTGCCTTGGCCCAGAGCCAGACGCATACAACAGAAAAGCTATTTTTCCACTGGAGCTCTTAAAGTTTTTTATTTTTTGTGTTGTTCTCTGATCAGAGTGAAAGTTTTCAGAATAGAAAATACCATTTTAAAAAAACGTTATACATCTGAAACAACGCTCTGGGCTGTTTTTGAATTTTGGCACTTTCAAAAAGAGCAATGACAGCAAGAAAGAAGAGGCCAAAATCTTC